AGCAGTTTTTAATCTTCCAAAGCTAAATTTATATGATTATAATAAACACGGTGATCTGTTTTGGTTTAAAACAAAAAACAATTTTTGTCGCACGAATAAGTATATAAATAAATATATCAGTAAAGAGTTGTCAGATTTTGATTTTTTTTTCAAAAATAATTACTAATATTTCGGTTTCCTAAAAATCATTCGGCATCTTGCTGGAAACTATTAACACTTTAGTAAATGCACATTTGTTGTCGAACAGTTGTGTATAACAGTCATTCTTAAATAAGCCCATTTTTCTTCAAGGACACAAAATTGACCAGTTTGATCACCAATAAGGTAACGAGGATAGGAGAACGAACAACATCAAGCAGTCTTTATCAAAGCTTACAAAACGGTGACGCCTTGATAATCAAAAAATCCTCATAGGCGCGTTTTAATGCATGCCTTAAGTGATGCTGCGTGATCATGGTGCAAGGCGCCGTTAGCATTATTAATATACGGTGCCAAGCTTTGTAAGTGACCTCCGCCGTTAACACTTCTCAACGGATTCTCCAGTAAAGATGTTCAACAGTTTTTAAAAACTTCTAATAAGTACAGAGTGATCGCCGGAATTGATAACTCGTGTTTGCATTTACTCTGCTTAGGTGAGTGAGAACTTGATCTTCACTGTATCCATAGGCCAAGAAGCGTAGTATCTAGTTTTAACCTCCTGAGTTATTTTAAATGTAATTCTTGATTTTAGCATTCTACAAATCTTTTCTTCTCCTCTTGCTTTTTCAGTTGCATATGTTTTCTGAACCATCTTCCTATTAAGAGATCCAATTTTTGAAATGCTACCAGCTGTCTTATATATATTTTTGCCAAAAAGGTGTTTATTGCCTCTCAACCTATGACAAGCGCATTGGGGATTTCCAAATGCGTATCGGTATGCATTCAAACTACTGACATACAAGATCTTGTAAAAATAAGTGTGAAAGTCTTCGTTTTAAGCCAGTTTTCTTATTGCTATTGATTCTATTGTTGGGGGAATGAGAAAAGTAATTCATAAGAATAATAATTATTATTCGTATTGTTCACTTCTGTCGGTTCATCTAGTAACAGAAGTCGGTCTTAAAAAATATTTGAAGGAAGTGAACGATCTCGCTTCATTTGCAAAAATGAAAAATTATTTAACTTTTGACATCAGTTTTCTTCGTTTTTTGAATGTTTATCTATCAGTTCAGATCTGGTTTTCATAAGCAAATAGTTGAGCTCTTTCTTTATATCAAAATTTGGTTATATTTTCATTACAAGTGAGTTTTTTTGGTTTTAAGCTGTATACTAAACTATTGCTTTTTTAACTCGCTCCCATAAACATGAAGACGTTCAGAAAAAATCGTTGAATTGTCAAATCAGTTTTTAAAAATTATACTTTTTTGAGAGTACAGAAAAACGGTAAAATAACCAGTTTATATTTCAAACAAACCTCAGTAAATGGCTATTTTAGGTTCTTGATATTTAAGAAGCTATATATTGCGGTAATAATTGTATACAATTCTTTGTGTGAGAAATAGTCAAGCAGTTGCGAGGTCCTACTAAGCTAACTGGTTTTTGAAGTAGATGGACGGCAATGGACATCTTGAATCTATCTTGTCATTTACATCAAGGCTGGATGCAGTGAATTCACGTTGTCCATGATCTGTTACATTTCCGTGCATGTGCCGTACTGTTTATAACCACTTCATCTCTCCTTCTTTACACACCAAAACTCACTGAAACTCGTTGTCCTCAAACCGACAAAACTAAAATTCAACCAAACTCATACAGCACACCAAAAGAACCACAGTTACGAGCCACCATCTTTATACCGTAAAATTTCTTCGACGAACACTTTTACTGGCAAAAATGGTCATATATGTTTGATGGGCAAATGAGTAAGCTGGAAAGAAAGTTTTATTTCGGACCGTCGAAGAGCTCGATCTTAAAGGAAACAGGCACAAACATTAAAACATCCGCAATATGCGAAAACATTTAACTATGCACAATTTATACAGAAAAAAGGAAAAAAGTGATGGACAATTCTACAACGGAGGAAAAAAACGCAAAAGCGGCAGCAAAAATAACAGAAGAAAAAAGCAAGGTAAAATATTTGTTCCTTTTTTGAATTCACCGCTTTGAACGCGTTGTTATGGCAAGTTCTTAATATTTAAAATTTCATAATCTGAGTTGCAAACTTCAGGGATAAAACGTCCAGAAAAAAATTCTATTAAATGTCTCCGTCGTTTTTTCCAGAGAAAACAGACACGTTGATTCTAGAAACAAATGCTCGAAGATCCTAGTCATGAATACAAGATAAAAGAATTTCAAAGTAACCAGCAGCGTTTACCAAAAGAAATCAAGCAGTTTATGGCCAAGGCCACATCATATAATGATACTACTGAGACTAAGAACGAGAACTTTGCCTCTTCATTTTACGGAGATTAAACAGGGAAACTTCAACTTCACTAAAAATTTCTGGTGTCAAAGCAGGACGTCTTACAAGAAATTGTTGGTAATTTATAAATCCTAAAAGGTACAATTGATATACAATATTAGCACTTGTTCATTAAAAAAATAACAGCAACAGAACAGGGACTTGATTCAAATGACTGAAAAAAACGAAAGGTGAGTCATTTCGCTTTTCACTGCTAGAAGGGGATTGGTGGGGGACAAACGAATTTAAAACGAAAAAAGCTCTTTTGTGCAAGAAGAAAAGAGAAGTAGACTAAGTTTGAAATCACAGGTTATAGTGAGGAACGTTAAGGTTAATTAGCTAAAAAATTCATCATTAAAAGGGTCGTTGTTTGCTCCAGAAAACACTAATGGTGCTGTCGTACGAGCTGGGATACACGGCGGGTGACCATGAGTGACCATTGCAGCAATTGGAACCTTTGGAGGATTTATAAGGTCATCGAAAGGATTTTTCTTAATTTCTGGCCCGGAAACCAGTGCATCCATATCAACTAACTTCGTAAAAGCTTCTTCTAAAGATGTGACCTTCCTTGTGTCGTACCACTGCGACCTGAACCGATAACTTTCATCCTTACATACAACTATTTTGAAGACACTGTGAAACACTTGTATAATCTTCAATAACATACTTATTATCTCTAGTTTGAGGAAACGGAGCTGAGTTTTCATTCTGTGGCCATTGAATACCATTCTTCTGAAAAGAACCCGTAGATTCTATAATACGATGTGCAGACTGAGTATCGAAAGGATCAACAGGATCCACAACAGATGAAGCGAAGGGATTCGTTTCCTTAAAAAAGCAAAGTCAAATGAGGACCTAAACAAGAAAAAGACAGCTCTACAACAATTCCTCACTTATTTAATATGTTACGCTATTATTAGGTCACTGAACAGGCCAGCGGGAACGATAAAGCAGCGAACGGCTCAAATAAATATATCAATATATCATTAATAAGGACTAACAAAAAACAATTTGGTGAATGAAGAATGTTTCGGTCAAAAAACATTAACTTCTCAACAGTGTTTCTAAAAATTAACGTACGAAAAGAAACATATTAAACCAGCTATCAAAAAAAATAAAAATAAAAATAAAAATAAAACTTACAGAAAAACTGGTTTGGAAATTTGGAGCTGACTGCACAGCGCTTAAGTGCGACCAAGGATTTGAAGGTTGCAAGGGTGCAGTTGACGGTAAGTGGTATGCTAATGGCGCGCCCAAAGACGGCGGTATTACAGGTTTGCTAGTGAAAGGGTCCGATGACGAACAGAAAGAAGAACCATTAAAAGGAGAATTCACGAATGCGGATGGTGTCTGCGAGTTTGAAAATGCGTCTGCATTTGGCCATGAATCCTCAACGAAAGCTGGAATATTCTGGAGCTGGTTAACTCCCTGTTCAATATTCTGTAACTCTGTTTCAAGATCAAGAAGATCGGCTACGGCAACCCCATTGTCCATTCGCACACCATCTTCAACTCGAGTAGCCTAAAAACAGAACGGCTTTTTCATAAAATCTATGTAGAAACGGAATACAAAAGTTGCATAACCGCCGCTCAAAGGCAAAACATCAAGTGCTCCACTGAACTCTCAAAACGTAAAGATGTACTTCGTTTTGTTGTCCCTCCTGCTTTTGTTTGACCTCCGCCAGATGAGCTTTTTTCATTTCAAATACAATCTGGAACATATCACGAATCGAAAGTACTGCTTTGTCTGCCGTTTGTGCAGTTTTTATACCTAAAAACTTGATATTTTTTGATGAAAAAATAGATTTTAAACAAAATAATTTCTAGGACATAAGCAGATAGGAATTTAAAACTAACCGTAAAATTTATACTTATTGTCGGAGCAGCTAAAAATAAAGCCAAACGCACGTGCGTCAGTAGTATCACGCGCAATGAAGGAAATTCTTGACACGGGAAAATTATAAAGTGTGACCTGCAACAAAAAAAAAA